TTTGAAACTTGTCTAACCTCCGAGCGCATCTTTTTCATTCAAGAAAACAATTTAAAATCCACAAACACCAAAGCGCTCGCACTGGCCTCGCTGCTGCTCATGTGTTCACGTCCATGCTTCAAAAACATTCCCTGTTTCCTGTGTAGCCCATGTGGTGACCCTCGTGAGAACACAAACTTTTGATATTTCAAGAACTTGTAAAGTACTTTATATGGCTGCGCTTGTTAGTATGAATACCCTCATCTGATTAAAATTATGTGTTTAAGTAACCATGTGAGACCCAAATAAAAAGCCACAAAACTTAAGGACCTGAACAGTAGTTGTAGTAGTTATACCCATGGGTGGCTTCAGATTGAAGAGCATGGTGACAAATACTAACATAATTGAATAAAACTGTATGAAAACTTATACTTTAGAAAATCTTAGTTCAATCATTTTAATGTCTCAGAAATTTTCGACCTTTTTAAGTTGGTGCAACTGATTATATTTAAATAAACTTGAAGTATTTTACAGATGTGCAGTACCCATTCAGGAAAATTTCACTGTACTTATTTCTATAGTGTCTTTGTAGCTGCATTTGTCCAGTACTATTGTAGCATCCAGAGTGGGTGTGTTGGATAAGTTCTGGGTTTGCAGAAGCAAATTATGGGTGTTACGTAAAATATTATGCATGTTCAGTTACTATGTTTGTTCCAATATGTTTACAGTATAGTTGTCAGAGTGGTTAAAATAACCTAATGTTTGCCCCACACAAGCCTGTAATCAAAATATTGAAAAAATAGTTGACCAACAAATTAAGGCTTTAATTTGAAATATAATTTCTGACTGCACAAAATCAACACAAATATCTACAGTTACTAGAAAGGGGTTGAAAACAGCAGATAGGATGCAAAACGAGTGGAAAATATGCCTCAAAATTACCACAATTATCACAACAGAAGCTCACAAAATATTGGAGGTGGGTACTTTCTCACGCCCGACTGAACAAGAATGGCTTTTGCTAAATCAGCCCTGTCCTTTTCATGTAGCTGCAGTGAGTTACGATCATCAGACGGTAGAAATGATGAACTTGCGTGAGCTGGCTTATCCATTACGGGGAACACCCCGCCATGTTTATGTCTGTCAGAGCTGCTTTACAGCTGCGTGTTAATGTTGCTGAAAAATCTACATATCAGTCTGTTTGTTCATGTGCCGGTGGGAGGCTCCGACATCTGGGACTCTCGAGTGGGCTGCCAAACAGTTGTTGTGCTCACGTGCTGTTTGTCTTAAAAAAAAATCCTGTAAGAATAATGATCAACAAACAGAGAGGTCCAGAAACAGATGATGCAGATTTGGCTGCTTCTTGCTCAAAGCGTGTGATGAGAAAGGTTCATCTGGCGAGCTACCAAGCGCCAAAAATTGATTTCTCAAAATGTATACGATTGCACACGAATGCACAATTTGAGCTCAAGGCTACAAGTCCCAACCCGAGCACGCCCACGTAAAGCGAACACTGATCTCTGCCTTAAAATACTCTCTGAAGACATGATCTAACATCCAACTTTGGACTCCATGCATGGAAGTTTTCTTCATGTGTTCCTGGACCGACCTGTTTGTCTCTCAGCCTTGCAAGTAAAGAAGAAAAGAGAGATCACTGAGAATCTCGTTGGTCACAATGCAATAAAATGCATTTTGTTGTGCTTAACGGGTATTTTCAGAGTGGCTATGAAGTGTTTCTGACCAATCACGCTGCACGGCTGAACCCACTCGCTGTACATGTATCAGTATCGGCTGTCATAGCCATTTTCAGATTTGCAACAATGCAGTTTGGCTCCTGGCACAAAAGGAGAGAGAAGAGAAGCGTGGCCAAATTGATTTTCAGCTGGATTTCAGCTCTACTCTCCTCTTGCCCAACTCAATGCTCATCTTCTTGTTTCCTCCACTCGTTTCCCATCTATATTTCTATTGTCCTCTTCGCCTTTATTTTTTCTAATCTTTCCCTCCTATCTCCTTGCTTCCTCTCCTCTTTGTTTCCACTTCATTTTCTCCCAAAACCCCTCCTAATCAACAATTGAATCCTCCTGGCCCCCGCATTTTCTTTCTTCTAACCTTTTCCTCTCCATCTCTTTTTATCTCCCTCTTTCTGATTTCCTTATCTTTTCTTTTGTCATTTTTCTCTCATTACTTTCATCTTTTTGTCTTCCTTTCCCATTTTCTTTCCCTTCTCCCCTTTTTTCTTTCTACTCTTCTCTCTTCTCTTCTTTTAATTTATTCTGTTTATTTCATCCTCTGATCTATTGCTGCGTCCTGTTCTCGTGGTCTTTTAACGCTTTGGTCTTTGCATCCTCCTCTCCTCAGTGCTCCCGGTTCTGGCCCCATGTTCCGGTCCACCACCGTGGCTGTCGACTCAGCCGATCAGTCCAGACCAGAGATTGTGCAGAACGGCAGCAATATCCATCCAAGCAGCACCACACTGGGAACAAGTAAGAGCTTTTATCCACTTAAAAAGGCATGTACTAGGCTTCTTAAATACTTTATGAGTATGTGTTTGGTTTGGGTGATGAGGATATCACTCTTGATATTGAGGGATTCAATAGCGTGTGGGCTGCTGCAGAATCGCTGAAATATCTCTGTTGACAGCACACTCTGATGTCAGAGTTTTCACTTCTTTTCCAATGTATAAGACCTGAAATGCACACATATGAGAGGGTGTGGTTTGAGGAGGAGTGGAGTACAACATAACAAGAATCTAATCTGGTTGGTTAGACACTGAATAAAACGATGCTTCAGGGTCTCTGTAGTTGCAGTGAATATTAGGGAAAATTAAGCTATCACTGGAGTTGCTGTAATAAATCAACACAGACATTTTGCCCTGTGTTCAACATTGATGAACCTTGACACACAATTTCTTGCTGTTGACCAACTCCAACCCAGCAGTGCTGACCTTTGTGCGAATGAAATGGCTTAAGACTCCAGAATAAATCATATCATATGAGTTGTGTCGCACCACAGAAGCATTTTACAGTTTATATTTTGCTCCGGCGGACTCTGGGGTATTTTAGTTGTACGTTAAGGAGCTTGAGCATAAATGGTGGCATTTACATATCTCTGCTTTTACTGTCCTCTGCAAGGAAGTGGCTTGACTATCATAGTTACGATGAAAAACAAAAATGCTCACCTTAACACATTACAAAGTTGCTGTTCCCAGTGGAACCACACCTGAACTTCAGTTTACCAGGAAAAAATGGGAAGTAAATGTCTAGAAGTTTGGCAAAAAAAGAAACAAAAGTATATAAAGAGTCTGGGTAAGCCAAACGATGGGTCCTGAACCAGAAAATAAGCAAAGAAGCGGGGATGCTGGAGAGCTACTTGGTCTGGGAGACAGTGAGACCCTTCTCCCAGCCTGCTATAAGCAGGGGCAGGGTAATCCTTAATTAGTCTACCTGGTGGACCTGAGATAGAGGAAACACTGTAGCAGAACAGAATAATGAAAGAAATGGGAAGCAACACAGGTGGAAGGTATATAACTATCGCAACTTAATATTTCGTATCTTCTTTAAAAATATTTTTCCAACTGAATTTAGTTTCATGCATAGCACTGGTTTTACTGATATAGCACCAAGAATACTTGTCTCAAGGCGACTTATTTTGTAAGGTAAAAACTCAAATTATAAATGATCAGAGGATCCCAGATGATATGAACAAGCATTTGGTGAAGGTGGGGAGAAGGAACGTCTTTGTAACAGGAAGAAGTAGAGAGAGGGGAGGTGCAGCCATGAGAATATAGAAGACAGAAAAGATTGTAGGTCCTCATAGAGAGTCCATGAACAACAAAAACATCAGTCAAACTCTGGGAAAGAAAAATACAAGAGTTAACGACATGCTGTGGTAGCAGGGCCTGGAGAAGAAGTAGTCAGTGCATCATGGGAAATCCCCAGCAACCTCCCTATGGCAGCATAACTAAAGGATGCTTCTGGGTCAAGTTGCTTACTATTATAGAGTCTTTACTACTTTTTACTTTACTTCTCCTTTAGTTAAGAGGGAGAAAACTGCACTTGAGATAAGTTATTATTTTACTGTACTTGAGATTACAGTATTGTGTCTACCACATTCAAAATGTATGTGAATGTCTCAATAGAAATGCCTGTGAGAATAACTCAATAAGATCAAAAGTAAGCATCTTCCCAACGTATCTTAAACTTATAACAAAAACAGTCTAAAAGATTAAAATCATCAAGATCGTCCCTCCTTTCACTGCTGTGGTCTAGTCTTAGCTGTGCAGCCTTCCTCCCCATCCAGCACCTGCAGCTCTTTTCGAGGAGGTGAGGTATTCCCAACCTGATAACATAGCCATCCGCTGTGTCTCGGTTTTGCCCCAGGGTCTGTTTCCATTCAGCCATACCTGAAGCAGCTGTCTCCGTTTGATGGATTGGAGAAACAGCTTTACTGTCAACCCTTCTCGTATATGTTTGAGTTTGAATATATACGGAAAATCCATCCAAACTTTGACCATCACAAATGATGCTGCTCAAAAATTTATGGCATTCATGCACATGATGAGTGTATGTAAACCTCTGAATACTAAAGTATACATAAAGGCTGTTTCCTCAATATATAATTCTAAGAATAAGGTGGAAGTTAAATTTGTGATTCGTTCTCATGTGTTCTAAATCTAAAAGTGATCTTCTTTCAGTTCACCTAAACAGTTGTGTTCAAGACCGGTGCATTTACATTTTTTTAAACAATATTCCCTTTTGGTTTCAAAGAAACAATCAAGTGTAGCCCTTTTTTTCTGAAAATGCATCAGCAACGCGTTCAATACGTTTTCTCTCCTCATTTTAAATTGGAAATCAGTGCAAAAGTTCAAGAAGGGTTGAATTTAAGTGGAGTTGAAGTCCTAAATGCATTTTCACTTTTAGAGTAGGAAGACTCATAATTCCCCTAACAGTTTACAAACAAGGTTTCTGATGTAGCATATTATAGATCACTTTTAAAGCTATGATTCATCTTAAAACCTTCACTCAACAAACAATTTCTCTAAATCTCTCACCAAACTGACGTATAGACAGACGAATGTCTGACAGCACGGTGAGCCCCATAATGGCTGTACAAAGATGGATATCACACATATTACACAAGTCTTATTTTTTGCCATTTCTAAGTGAGACACATTCAAATCTGCGCTTAAGTCCATCCTACATCCATAAATCATATTTAGACGCGCTGAAAGCAACAAAAGAGTAATGGTGCGGCACCAAAATGCTCAAAAAAGCCTAAGGAGATTACTGTACAGGAAGCCTTAAAAATGAATGGTATTCTTTGTAGGAAGGGTATTTTGTATCCCTTCCTACTCTTTTCTTTATAGTTAGGTTCAACATATAATCCTGTTATGTTCTACATGTAAATGTAACCAGTGTCAGCTGCTATAATCCTTTCTGTTCCCCTCTCCATCTAGAGTCTCAGATCCCCCGGATACAGCCCTTACTTCCTCTGGACCCTGCTCTGGAAACCGCACTCCTGAGCAACACGCGGTGGACCTATGAGCAAACAGACGCCAACAGCACCACAACTACTGCCGCTTCGGACTCCTGCGTGCTTGACAAGACCCATCTGGATTACAGTCAACCGCCAACCATTACACCCAGCATCAGCACCACCCTGACAAACAGTGATACCAACAGCTCTACAGAAAACAGCCACTTTAACAAGATCCCTTGGGCTCATGATTATTTAAGCCATCCCATTACTCCCAATAACATCCCAACAACAGCCTCTGGCGCCACCCATAATGGCTCCATTTTCAACAAAACCACAGTGACCAGCATCAGCAAGAACTCCACCACCCCCTCCATTACTAATACCACCAATGTCAGCGTCAGCAGCAGCAGGGAAGTATGCAGAGCCTCTGACGTCCAGTCCGTCCTGAGCAGAGTCCGCCCTGTCTCTTTCTCGCTCCCCAAAAGGAGCTGTGTCCTCTTACACCAATCAGCTGCCGTATTTATCCAAGCAGGGCAGGGCTCTGGCTTGTCAGGGAAGCAAGAAGGTGCGGCAGTGCATGACAGGAAAACAAATCTGGGGGAGAAAGTCACCGATCAGCAGCTCAAATCATCCGCAGACATGGTTGCTGTTGGTGTAAATCACTGGAATACTGGAAACCAGTGCAGTGAGGAGAGTAAAGCTGAAACTCGACCCGTTGAGGCTGGAGCCATTATGTCTACTGAGAAAAGAACTGTGGGACTCTCTGGGACTGGAGCCCAGGTTTCTTTATGTAATCGCAATGTGATCAGAGTAGAGGACTCAATTATCAATGGGAATGGAGCCCAGCTCTCCTTATGTAAGGACGATGGGACTGGAGCCCAAGTCAGCAGTGAAAGTGGGACTAGAGCTCATTTTTATTTAAACAGTGGCATTTCAGGACATATTTCTGAAAGTGTAAGCACAGATTCAGAATGCGGAAGCAGCAAAGTTGAAATCCACGATGCTGTGGAAAATCAGACAGATTCAACCCAACCCCAAGAAGTAAAAGATCTGGCTTGTCCTACAACAAATGAGCCTAAAAAATCAATTTCATGTGTTGAAACCACGTCAGCTCAAGCACAGCCCAATCAAACTCCTCTCCCCAATCCCCAAACTCCCCAGTCAAACTCCGCTCCATCAAAAGAGTCGGCTTCTTTGCCTCCAAGTCGTCCCAAAGAGCCGTTTTGTCGTGTCCTGAGCCGAGATGGTAGCAGGGTTCTTCTGTGGCCAACGGAGATGGTCAGCTACACCAAAACTTCGCCCTCCATTTCCTACAGTGTCAATCCTCTACTTTATGACTTCAGAGCGCATAACAGGGCCAAGGAAGGGGGTGAAAAAAAGAAAGGAGGGCTGGAGGAAGGGAGTGAGAGAATAAAGCCATCTGTGATCAAACAACCTGACTGCCAACAGAGGCAGAAGGATATGAAGGGAGGAAAGGAGGTGAAGATAGATGAAAGGGACGAAGAGGATGAAGGAGGACAGGCAGGAAATCCTATGGAACTTGTAGCCCATTGTAGCGGTAGCGACGCAGTTCCGGATCGCTCCAGCTGCCCTGATGAAAGCGCTTTAAAATTTGTTCCGATTTCTGCAGAAGGACACCATGCTCCAACGCTAGGCCTTCAAAAATCCGGGAGGAGGAGGAGGAAGAGGAGGGGTGGGGTAAGGAGAGGAATGAGAAAGAGGGGGAGAAAGAAAAGAGGAGAGGAAACAGACAGAAAAGAGTCAGAAAGGGGAAGAAGGATAATAAGCAGTCTTTGTGTGAATCAGATGTTTGAAGGAAAAGGAGAAGACAGGCTGCAACGAGAGGGCACCGTAAAAGAGGAGAAGAGAGAAAAGGAGCTATTAAGTAATCTTGCAGCACATCGGCTGGTGGGAGGGATAAAAAAGAGGATGAGGGGAGAAGAGAGAAGGATAAGACGAGATCAGACGGAGCAAGAGAGGGCAGGTAGAAATGACGAGAAGAGAGGGGAGCTATTAAGTAATCTTCCTGTGAATCGGTGTAATCGGTGTAACCAGCTGTGTCTGCAGGTGAAAAGGGAGGCCAGCCAGCATCAATCTCAGCAATCAGCCTCCGGGTGGGGCCAGGGGCTCAGAAAGCTCCTCTGCAGGGATGCAGCATGTAACTCAGTGATTAGCCTCGTCCCTGGGTCTGTTATAGAGATGCCATGCTGTCCTGCAATTACACCCGACCCTGCTCAGAATGACAGAGAGACGGGGGTGATACACAAAAATACACAAGCAGGGAAAGAGGACGGGCAGGGAGATGAGGAGCAAAGGAATCTGAGTAAGGGAGAGATAAGCGCTGCTCCGAAAGCTGAAGAAAACGCATGTAACCCAGCGATTAGCTGTCTTCCTTTTCCCTGTTGTGACACTGCGAGCCAGGCAGAAATTTGTCTTGTTCCTAAACCTCACAGAGAAACAGCATGCAAACCAACGATTAGCCTTGTCCCTGCTCCTTTTAGAGAAACAGCGTGCGGTCAAAGACAAACAATACCTGCAGGACACAGCAATCTTGTGTCAAGCCCGACCACATGCTGCTCTGCAAACCAGACAGAAACAGAGCCCAGATTGAGGCCGGCCTGTGTAGACATGACCCTCCCTGCCGATGCGCTTTCAGAGGAAGTGATGTCGAAGAGAGCAGCAACAGCCAGCAAGAGGAAGAGCGGATCGCCGGAGGCCGGGGCAACACCGAGGAAGAAACGGAAAAGGGGAAGGAGACAGGCGAGGAGACTCGCTAGCGTTTTAAGGCAAGACGGAGCTTGCGCCGATATGACTTCGGATTTAAACGAGGGCGACGCCTGTTGCGTTCAGGATGGTAACGAGGCGCTTGGACTCAATAGCAAGGACACCTGCAACACTTTAGAGGACAAAACGGTCGACTGCCATTTGCTCTGCAGGACAAAACACTCTCTGTGTTCAAATACCAGGGAGGGTAACACCGCTGACAAACTCGATAACTACTGCAGCTCTGATGACAGCAAATTCAGCAATGCAGACGCTAATGACTACAGCCAGTTTAACGTCGGTCCCTCTGGAGGCCTGGAAAAGGTGAAGTGTTCACCGGAGAAACCTTTTAGTGACTGTCATACCAATAACAAACCCAATGACAACAGTCAGGATGATGAAAAGGGCACCGTGCAAAATAAGCGTGACAGTTCTGCCATCTCTAGCGCTACTTTTGAGAAAGACAAAAGTCTCCGTCATGGTCACGTGGCTAAAAAAGCCAGTGAGAAAACTGCAGACACACCTGTGGATGGCCTTTCTGAAGATTCTTTTGCCTGTAGCACTAATAACAGACACACTGACCACTGTCAATGTAAAAACACGGTGAATGAAATAGAGTCTAACGACTCCAAAGCCAATGACGCATTTAGTCATAACTGCGATTACAGCCACAAAAATAACAAAAGTGACCACGGCGAGGAGGAGAAAGCCAAATCTCAGTGCCACATTCGACACAAAAACAGCCTCTCTGATTCAGCGATTGATTACAAAAGCTGCGCCGGGATCCAGCAAAGCGTTGGAGGCGGCGCCGACGATATTGACGGTGGTCAGTGTGACGATTTTATCGGTAGTCATGTCACTGATTGTAATCACTGTGCTAATGCTGCGAATGAAGATGTTGCACCCGTGAGGGAGCAGATGGAGGATGAAAGAGGTGTGGAGAAGGAGAGAAAGAAGGAGGAGGAGAAACAGATGGAGAGGAAAAAGTTGAAGGAGAGGCACGAAGAGTGGGAGAAGGAATGGGTGAGGAGGAAGGAGAAGGAAAGGGAGGAAAGAAGTAAGGAGAGGGAGATAGATTTTGAACCTCTCTTCTCAGAGAAGATGCCCCGCTTTCCTCATCGCCTCCCTCCATCGTGCGTCCACCTCCATCCTCCTCTCCTCCTCCAGCCATCCTTTTCATCATCCTCCTCTTCCTCTATCTCCTTCCATCACACCATCATCCAACATCACCTTTCCCTCCTCCCACCCGCACCACACCTCCCCGTTCCTTCCTACCCTCATCTTATTCCCTCTTTCTCCCCACATTTATCGCCCATCCCTCCACCACCACCTCCACCACCACTACCTCCTCCTCCCGCTCTTACTCCCACTTTCTATGCATCTTCTCCCATCCCTCTCCTGGACGCCCCTGGTCCATATCCCTTAGCAGCAGCATTTCACCCTGTGCAGAGCCACCACCCATCTCTGTACCCCACTCCACACCCAGCAGTTTTGCCCTTGCAGTTATTGTTCTGAAAAAGAGGGGGAAAAATGAATTAATTAATTAATTTTTCATACAAAAAATTACTTGTCAGGTGGGTGCAAACAGCTTTGGGTGTCATCGCTTGCATACTTTTACTGTAGCTGAAATGTGAGGAATTTCAGGAACACTTGAGTAAAAACACAAAACTGATCTTTCTTAAAGCCAAATCCTTTGAAGAACCTCATCACCCCGTCCAAACACTCAAGCACTGATTCACACATCTGAAAAACAATAAAGATGGCTAATTATCTTCATCAACTCCAATCCCACTTGAAATGAGCCTCAGGTGTGCAGCCAGCGGGATCGTGGTAGGGATACACAGCTGGGCTCGTTTCCCTCCGCAGAAATCAGTCAGAGCTGCTGTTTTGCATTTTAAGCTGGCGATTTGCTCGTGAGGCACGTTAGAAAATTTCGTGACTTTAAAGGATGAATTCACCCTCGCATGCTCAGATTTCTTCAGTCTGTCATCGTAGATGTGCGGGAATTTTTCTTTCATTTTAATTTGTATGATTACATTCAAGATCTGCACAGGACAACAGGAAGTTGTTTTTCCCAGAATGGGTTCAAAAGAAACCCAATCTTAGTGTTTCTAAAAACATTAAACACACTATTTTTTGCTACTTTGCTGTTTTGCATAATTAGAAAGCTTCATCATTTAACAAATACAAAAAGGGTATTTTCTGGTTAGATTTCACAAACAAAATATGAGTCTGTTGCCACATTCACTTAGTTTAAACCTATATGTTTTTATTCTTAAACTATACTGGAGTAGCTCTGTTTGATTCACTGTTCAAAGGACCCTGTTTAGTCCTGTATAAGCAGCCCCCATTTAACAGACAGGAAAAACACGTCCACACCATAATGAAACAAACTTGAAAAATCATAGATATTCTACACAGAATCTCAGATATTTCTACAGAACTAATGGCAGCAAATCCTCTTTAACTTGGAGCTAAATAAAGCGCAAAATTAAAGGAGAACTCCACAAATTCTACACATCAAAGACTGTTTACAGGTCTTGGGGAGTTGCCCTTGAGTCAACCGGCTGGGACTAAAGTTTGAAACTGAATAAAATGTGGGGGTGTGGAGTTTGGAAAGAACTGAGCTTAGCAGCAGGCACATGTAGCCCATTCCTCATCGCTGCCTAAAGCTGTAGGCTTGGAGCTAAAGGATCCGATGCTAGCATAACATACCCAGACCTTGAAGTGCACCATCTGCAGTCACTCGGCACTGTGGGTAATGTAGGAATCAGAGTAAGACAAGGAAGAAAATGTATGGAATTAAAAAAGATGATATCTCTTTAGTCTGCTTTAACAGTAAATTTGCCCATTGTGGGTCCAGCAGAGTTAATATATGCTAAAATGGTAGAATACTACAAGACTGGCATAGTAATAGACAGATAATATGTTCAGGGCGTGAAAGCATAAGTAGGCCGAGATAATGTGAACACTATCTAGTCAGAATAACAGGAAATTTTCAGGGTCCAACATGATGTGAATGCAGCATGAGCCAAAAAAAGGTCTCTTAAGAGACTCTGTGTAACAAGATTGTCTTTTTTTCTCCTATCTTTCAAAATTATGTTTTCATTTTACTGTCCAGTACAGCAATAAAACAGATGAATAATGATTTTCAGGAAGTGCGAAGAGAAAAAAAAAGCCCTTCTTTGAGAGAGGTTTTAAAAGTGCCAATTTAGGCAGCCAGCGCATGACGCAGCAAACACATCTGCGTTTGCTCAAGGATGAGCAGATTTCCTGATGGTAATTCTAAGCTAATTTGTTATTACCTAGAATTGACTTGTTGTTACATAATGTCACCGAGGACTGCCATTGGCCTGTGGGTCACCCTTTGAAAACCTTGGCTCAATGCGATTTTAAAGCAGCAGAGAAAGATGCTGGTTTCCCTGTATTTAGAGATGAGTGTTAGGGATAACTGCAGGCCGTAGAGCAGTCTCTATGTGCACCAATCAAAGCTTAACAACAGGTATCTCGGAACCAAGCATCAGACAAGTTTGACCCAGTCGTGTGGGAAAGAAACAC